TGGAGAAGGCAAGTGGCCTTATGCAGTCATGTGAGATGGGGACAGAGTTCACTTTTCAAGGGTTGGGTTCCCAAGGGGGAAATCTGTTGCAACCTGTGCCATAGTCTGTAGGAAGGACTTGGGAGTCAATATCACTTAGAAATCACAGCTCATTGCAGAGGAAAACCAGACACATGATAGAAAATGGCTCTGTCCAGAAATGAGAAAAAATTACAGGAACTGGAATTAAGAGAGCATCTGTCCAATGCAAACACATTAAAAGCCCTTTTGTGGTACTACTTAGTCTCTCAAACTTTGGCTCCTTCACTAGCTCCTCCCGTGAGTATCTGGGTATATGAAGTAGATAGGTTCATGGTATGCCTAGTGTCCAGTGAGGCAGGGTTGGGAAGTTCCTGGCCCTGCAGATTTGACTAACTTCTGCTACTGTCATCTGCAGCCCATGGACATTTGGCCCGTTCTTCTTAGCTGTCAGGACCTGGAGATCTCTCTCCATCTATGACTCACCTGAAGACTGGTTGTCACTATATTCATTTCAGACCTAGTTTTCCACCTTGAAATCTATGTTGCTGGACATACCCCAGCTACAGAAGCCCCTTTTGATAATCCTCCACCTTCACCACCACACTTTTAGTACTCCTGAGACCATTAAAGCCACCCAGAAACCCAGAACACCTGGGAAAGGAGCAGCAAGAAAATGAGAATCCTGGCATTCACCTTTCTCCACTTCTTTTATTTTTAATAATAAATACAGACTATATATATTTTTCTGAGATACATTTTAATAAATTATTTTACAGAATTGAAATGTTTTACTACATGTTAATATGGTTAACATGGACCTCAAAAATGCTAATTTTAGTTCTCATAGCATATGCAAAAGCCCACATTCCACTAACAGAGAAATGAAGTAAGTTGTGTGTGCAATGTAAATAGCTTTGGGCACTACTCCCCTGCCTGAGTGGGAAAAAGGTCGTTGACACTATTATGCTCTGTAGGAGAAATGGGAAATTTGCAATCATTGTTTTATCCATTATTGCCTTTGAAAAGAAACAGAGAATTAAATATTATAATGAAAATTCACTGAAAACGAATACTCCCCAAGCATTAAAAAATTAAGTGGATAAATGACTTTGAATCTATAATTTCACTTTCAAGACCCAACAATACATACATGACTATACAGTCAATTATAATATATACATGCTCTCCAAAGATTGGCAATGCACTTGTATAATGCAATTTCACTCTAAAAAAATGCTTTTGATTAACTTTTCCAGTTATTGTACTACAACAACTAAAGTTGCATAAACTACCTAAACCAATTTTCTCAGAGACTTTGAACATAAGCAAGATTAATATTACAAAAAAATTAACATGTACATTAAGAAAGTACAATGTGGTAGCATTCTAAAATGTGAAATTCTAACATAAATCAAAATAATTTCCTTTTCATATGAAAATAAGTAAAAAAAAAATACAGATATACCAAACTGATTCAGAAACAACTAAAATATATCTTGCTTCACATATTGGGTCAATATACTATCAGCTTATTGGATGCTTTATTATATGACAGGCACTCTGCCAACTGCTGGGCCCAGAAATGCTGAAGATGTGTCCTTATCCCTAAGAGTTTCTAGTTAAATGAGGAAGACAGACATATAAAGAAATATTTATACTACAATACGATACTCATTAATGGAGGACTGTACTCTGAGTTATTTCAGCAATCTTGTTACCCTTGAGACCATCAGCACAATTTGTTGAGCTAGTTAGACTTTTATGGTTGGGAATGTCAAAGTTAGTGAGATGAACAAAACTATCTGACTCATAGACTTATTTAATTATAGTCTTGTTTTATGAAAATATCATGCTCTATCCAAATGGACTAGCTGCACAAATCTCCAAATTTAGATTGTTATTGTCATAAGGCTGGTCAGTATTGATTTGTGAGCCTATTGTCCTCTCATTCACCACCAAGGGTGTGACTGCTTTGGTTTCTATTTTTTGTAGAGTTTCTGGAGTTTTCTTTAGTGTTTTTAAAAGTCTTCAAACCATATCTAATGACAAATTGTTTGACTTAATAACATTTGGCTTCATAATTCCTCTCCCAGAAAATATGGTTGTGATTATGTTGATGGGCATGAGTAGGAGAAGGGAGACACAGCAGGACTCCAGTCCAAATGGGATATATAAGATTTAAAGAGCTAAATGAGGGAATGACATGTCTGAATTATCAAGCACACTGAGAACAGACAGGGAGGCAAGGTCCATACAAGAAACAGATTCTGCAACACTGGTCAGGCTCAATCCACCATAAAATCAATAGAGCTAGGTAGGATAGATTGTCTGAGGTAATTGTACAAGAAGATACATAACATCAGCTATTGTGGGAGATGTTAAAGTGCCAAGCATTTGAACAAGAATAAAAATGAGGTCTTGATTTTGGAGGAATGGAAGACATGGTACTGGTTCAAACACTTAAATGACTGGCATGTGAAGATAGCGACCTAGGACCAAGGCCTGGAAGTTATTACAGGGAGGCAGACTTGTTTTCAGTGTTAGGAAGAATTTTCTATTAGAACTGTTCAAACGTGGAGATAGTGATTCTTAACCACTGAAAACACCAATTTAGAAATTGAAAAAACAAAAATTGCATGTCAGGGTGTTTTATAATTTAAAGGAAATTTCTATAGCAGGCTTGGAAGCTGCATTAGCTTCCAAGGTTATTTTCAAATTTGAATGAGTCTATGATTTAGAAGAGTTATCTTTTGATAAATGTATAATAGTATTTCCCTGTGATTGAATTCCCCATTTTGACATTAAATTTGATCAAGCATCAGTCATTGAATATATTTTATAAACCCATCTAGATGTTTAAGACATATTCTTTCACATTATGTAATATTTAAGTAAAATTACTACCTTTGCCAGTATAAATACTATGCAGAAAAATAATAATTTAGGAGAAAATTGTAGGTACTGATCTTTCAGTTTCTACTCATTATAAAATGAACATACCTCTATGGCAAATCAAAGGAAAAATCCCAACTAGCAGCTCACTGTAAATGTCAGCACCATTTACAAATTTTCCTAATTAAAAAATTTATCTTGAATAAATATATAGTTCCAAAAATGGTGTAGTTTTAAGATTCAGTTTCTATTGAAAAATCGTGAGTATCAAGAACCACTGAATCAAGTTGTTCACAATGCCTAAAATGCTAAATAAGTTGGAGGAGAAAACATATATCAGAAATGATGGAGATTGAGATGTGTAATAGAATGTAGAAATCTTTGGTCATGCTCTTTCATATAGGAAATTATTGAGCTAATGATCTTCCATATGCCACAGTTTTGGGTAACTGGTTTCATTCTAAAGTATGACTATAAAGTTGTTTCTTACACTGGACAGAAATACGCTCCCTATAATTTTCAGCCTTTGTGTTTAGGTTGCCATTCAGAGCTGCCCCCCTCAGAGAACATTTTTGAGATTTATACTTTCAATTCTAAATAAGAGTTTCCACAACACTAGATCCAATTAAACTGAGCATGATGATCTTAAAGTTACATTATATATTCAACTAATCATGACATTATAATATTTATTATATTCAAATCTCAAAATGTAAACAGATGTATCCCTCTGCGCTTAATTCTGATTTTCAAATGGTATACCTTGAGCTAATAAGCACACTGAACATATATTCAATTGCTCTTCTTGGTATCTGAGAAATATGGAATCATATTGCAGCATGTGGTCGCTCTTGAATACTAATCCAGCTTTCAAGGGTAGCATGTAATGAATATTGCTGTGATAACGACCTCCTTCACTCCCCAGACCAGAGCTGATTATGGGAAAATAGTTAGCTTTGATTATGTAAATATTCCTCATACTACTTAGTTTCAAAGGGTGTAGATGAACAAAAGGTTCTCCACATTTTAGGAATGTCCATTAACTTTGAATGGATCTCATGTGTTAAATATACTCTATTTTGTGTTTAATAATGCCATATACCTACTTTTCAATTTTAGAAGACATTACAATATTAAAATATTTTTGGCATGCATAATGCAAATGTAGTGGAGCAAGACAAATGGTAATGGATTTAGAAATGTTAAATAGAATTTTTCCACAGGAATGATAGCAATCCGGATAATGAGCATAATTATTTTGTCTCTTACACTGTAGCACTGGCTGAAGGATATAATGAAAGGAAAACAGACTTTAAAAAAGACTAAGAGCCCATAAAAGGATGTTATTTTCTCTTACCTAACCTCACAGACAGAAAAAACAGCTCCTTCTGGAGGTACTGAGAATAGACTGGATGGATCACTGAGATTTGCAGGTCAGAAATCCAGAAAGGAAGGTGAAGTCAGAATAATATATGTGGTTCTTAGACAGTGAAGCCACAGTCATTAACAAGACCAGAGGATATAACCAGAGTGTAGTCATTGCTCCTGTGTGGTTGAGTTCCTTGAGGACTTTGAAGACACAAAACCGTTCTCCAATAAGGCAGACAGATCAAATGAAAGTGCTATCTTTATAAGGAGAGGCAAAATATGAAAGGAGAGGAGTTAGTGGAGTGGAGTCTAGCACAGATTGCTATGGTGACCAGGAAAAAAAACAGTATGCAAAGAGTTGGAGGTTTTTTGATTAGACAGAGTATTTTCCTTGCAGTGATAATTGGTGGAGAGAACAAAGGTACAGATGTAAAGGGATGGCAATCAGTGAAAATGATTAAAAAGTAACCCACAGTAATTATTAAAAAAAAAAAAGAACTAGGGCAGAAAACCTTCTGCATTAGAAAATGTATTAAATCAAATGCAGAGGGAGCCACCTAGGCTTTGATAACAAGAGTGTTTCTGGAAACATTAGCATAAAGCAAAGGCCAATCAGAACAGTAGTGGAAATCAAGAAGATGACAGAACAATGAAGCAATATCAAAAAGGGATCTGATTTTGGGTTTCTCCTTTCTGAAATAGATGAACAATTCCTAAAGTCAGTGATGAAAACAATATTTATTTTAAACATACTCTATTAATATATATGCTTAAATTAACAGTTCAGTAAATCCACATATAGGTTATTCACTGTGTTATGGTCTTTCTCAAATAATTTGTTTTCAAAGCCACACACACACAAACAAAAGCCTCCACTGAATTTTCCATTTTTTTAAACACGCAAAGTACAGAGCTAACTACTCATGTGCTTAGATAGGAAGGCCACCAATTTTACAGAATACTCCTTATAAATATGTCATCTAATCAGGAACATTCCTTGATTTTTAAACTTCATGAAAATGTACTCTAATATTCCATTCCATTTTGAAAAATACATTTGGAACTTATTGTTGCATAAATTTATATGATAAAATAAGAGAATCTTCATTTAAGTATATTTCTACTTAGGAACACACTTTTAAAGAATGTGCACATTTGAGAAAGATTAACATTTACAACTGAGTGTAGAAAACTACATTTGGTTCCAGAGAAATACAATCTACACATTACCTGAGATGTAAAGCAGGGGTCTTAAAACCCAAAATGCCTTTTATCTTTTAAACTGATTAAAGAAACATATATTCTTGGAAGGCAGAATCACCTACCTGAGAACAATGACAACAGTACTGTTACACTGTTTGGGTTAAAGATCAAACATCTTAACAGATGCAGGTTGTGAATACTATTATCACTACCAATAGCCAAGTCATTTTTTTTTAATTTAGAAAGTAATTCACTGAGAATAATTTACTGAAGTAGTAAACCAACAAGGTGCTTTATAGTTGGTATACATCATCACAGAAAATTGATATGGTACTAATTTAAATCCTGAAATGTTTTATGTAGCTCAAATTTAGACAAAGCTTAAGAAATGCAATAATAATGATCCACTTAATTAGAGGTCAATTTTCTATGTCCTCAATTAGGCTGGAATCTAGCAGTGATACATAAAAAGTATTTTAGTACTAACATCCCAGAATCCAAAAATTTCCCATTGAGGGTTACATGCTAACATAAACTCAGGCCAGGTGTAACTTAGAACTACTAATTAAATCCAGAATGTTAATTTACTAAGATTGAACCAGAAAACGAGAGACAGAGAGAGAGAGAGAGAGAGAGAGAGAGCACGAGCTAGAAATTGAAACCAACTGACACTGAAAACTAATAGAATCAGCAATTTTTAAAGCATTTAAGTAACTGCTAATGGCATTATAACATGGTACATTATGCTCTTAATGAAAAAATGAGTCATTAAAAAAATTAAACTATGTTTAGTGTACTGTTGATAAAGCTGGGAAAATTATTTCTGAACTAAAAAAGGGGAAAAAGGGTACCTAAAAGAAGTTAACCAATCATCACAAATGATAGGAATTCAACAACTCATACCCGCAGTAACAAGATTCTCACCTCTAATTTATTTTTTACTTCATATAAGATGCAGTGTAATTCATTTTTACTCTCTCAAGAGATTTCTCCCATCTAAATAGTACAAATCTTTTATGGACGGAGTACTTTAAAAATTAAAGTGTCAGAGTCTGTGATTTGTAGTTTCATGTGAAAATACTAAGTATTCTGGATTCCCCAAGGTTAAATTATATTCAATATAATTTTTGGTAAAATGTATTTTGTATTTTAAGTTTTGGGAAACTGTTTATTTATATATGGTGTACATACATAATAACTAAAAGCAGGAACGTTTTATTCCATTAAGATGTATAGACCTTTTTACCTATCATTTTGGTTAACAAGTTTACGTTACTAGAACTGGACTCGTTTTAGAATGTTCAAGCACATAGATTAGAAAACCATGGGTCTCTGTATTTATTAAACTGAATTACCTGGCAGTAAAATTCTGTTAAGGCTCTAGGCATTGGTGAAACTTCTTCCCACTCAGACCTGTTGCTGTGGTAGACCTGCACTTCATCTGTGATTTCATCTGGTGCATAATCACCACCTAATATATAAATTTTATCTTCAATTCCAATTGCACCTGCATTAAAGCCTGCACACTCAAAAGATCCTTCGCCTTTCCAAACACAAGTGTCTGGACAAAAACTATAAACCTTATAGGTGGAAAGGTCACATATATACAGTGTACAGTTTACTGGTACAGCTTTAATTAATGTTGCATGAAAAAATTGTCCAAACTCTGCTACTAGTTCAGACCACTGATCAGTTGTAGCATTATATTTAAAAAAGCAATCAAGTGATGGGTTAAAAGCATCTGTAATCTCTACCTCTGATCCAAGAACATAAATTACATTTTGGCATGCACTTGCTTCTGGATAGTATATGCCTCTGGGTAATGGGCTAACAGATATCCATTCTTTGGAAAGCGGATTGTAAGATTCAACATCTAAAAGACTTTTAATGTCCCGGGATCCTGTAGTTTTTCCACCTATGACAAATAATCTATCGAGAGCCATAACTGATGTATGCATGGTTCTTGGTGTTTTCATAGTTGATACCAAGAAGAAATCGTTTTTGACTGGACAGTAGCACCAGGTTTGATCAGTGGCATCATGATATGACTCAGCAATATGCAGTCGAACCGTTCTACAACATTTCCCTTTGCAACCACCTGTCAAGAATATTTTCTCTCCGTAACTCGAAAGACTAGATCCTGGCAAATCAATCAGGTGTGATTGCGGCAGTATTTTCCATGAGTCAGTTTTAATATTATAGCAAAATGTATATTGATTTTCTCCATTTTCCTCAGTTTTGTGAATGAATATATATTTCTCAGTTGTGGATGGTCGAGCATCAGGGAAGAGTCCACCAGAACCTTGCACACACTTAATTGCATCCATGATTATGTCAAAACAGTCTGTGCTTTTGAGTAAACTCTCTTCGTTGAACAGACAGTCCTGAAGTGTCTCCTCAGATAACTGATGCAATCTTACTTTTTCAATCAAATGAGGCAGATACTTTTGCCTTGATTCTAAGTTATGTTTAGTCCAACTAAGGACAACTTTCAGTACCATTTCTTCTTCAGGAACATTTAATTCATCTGATTCCAGACATTTTTGTAGTACTCCAAAATTCATCTCTAAGAAATCACTGGATTTAAATAATAAAGAAAAGTGATGTTGTACAAAGTGTAATGCATGATCAAACAAACTGGTGGAGCCATAGCTATCTGATATAGATAATAACTGTAAACAATTGACAAGATTAATACTTTTTATTAAAAAGTCACTGCAAGCTTTGGATAGGAAGGAAACTTGAAGAAATGATGACAACTGGAAGAACATTTCCACATTATCATCTGTTATTTTTGTTTTTCCAGTATAGGCATAATCGAGAAATGCTTTTACTGCTTTGGAGGACAAATTAGTAATGGTAACACTTCCATCATCTCTTTCTTTCATGTTTACTTCAAACATAGCCCTGCAAAAATAAAGAACACAGAAAAACAACAGGAATATTTTATTCCATAATTATTTTCAATATTACCTTAAGGAGGTTTCCTTATTCTTGACTTAAAATATATTTATAAAATCATGTTTTAATTGCATCCTAATATCTAGAATTATATACCATATTTATCTGCCAATAGACATATTACAAAATGCCTATATTACAAAATATGTACATTACAGCTGAGCTATAGCAACTAATAAAAAAAGACTATAAAAAGATTCAAATTTTGTATACTGATTTTTCTTTATTATTAACACTATTGGGGCAAAATCTTGCTGATGGCCAAATTTCTTTATTTATGGATTAATTAGTAACAACTGTGCTGGTGATAAGTAAAATTACTTAAAATATAATTATTTAGAGCTTAGAATTTAAAAGTCTCTTTCAAATTCATCTTTGATTTCACATTAATGAAATAGAAAAGAGTACAGTGAGATACTTGATGTCTCCAATGACTCTATTGTGCGGGCGAAATTCACCAAATAAGATACATGTCTAAAAAGATATTTTATAAAGTTCTTTAGGAGAAGGGGAATGTGATCTCCTAAAACTAAACAGCAACAGTGAACCACATCAAGCAAAAAGGTGAAAAAAAAAAAAGAATTTAATAGGCGCTGAGAGATGGAGATAGGTCCCCAAATTTGAATAATTAGACTAGCTTGAAAGTTTTTCAAAATAAGTTTTGTTTTATTGCTACATGGTAAAGTTGACAGAATCTAAGGAACTGGAAATTTCTTTGGCTCAGTTTAGGTAAAAACATAAATTATTTGGAAATGTATTATTATGGAGCAAAACGTATTTTACTATTGGTTCTGGTTTAATAATGATTTTTATTTGTGCCAGTATTGTCCAGGATGTCTTTCTGAGCAGTGTTCATAGTTGCCCAAAGTATTCTAGGGGAAAACCAATTTACTTATCAAAGTCTACTCCAGAAGGTAATGAAATCTATTTAAAAAGTACAACATCCAACTGAAAAATACGAGGGAACTTGCAAAATGTTACATATTATGCAGGGTTTTTTAATAATGAATATCAATAGAAATATTAACCTGTGATAATAATTATATAGATTATTAAGACATCTACAGCAGTTTAGGATACTATTAAGAGTCCATATAGCCCAGCTGGCTATGTGGTCCATTGGGCCCACCTGCCAGTGTATGCAGCCTCTGCCACTTATTAGCTGAGTGGCCTTGGGGAGGTGACTTTATTGTGCTTCGAATTCTTCATCTGAAAATGGAGGTACTGGTAGTATCTATGTCATTGGGTGCTGAGAGGAATAAATGGGTTAATTGATGCAAAGTATTAGCTTTTATTGCTATCATTATTTTAAGAAATGTTTTCTATCAGACTTGATGTAGTTATAATTTACTATCAGCTTCCACATTTTCTTTGAAAAGACACATGTAAGATTATATTTCTATACTTCATCCTATTCATCTTAAAGTATCCAGTTAACATCTATCTCCAATTTACCATCTTATCATAAAGTATGTATAAAATGTGTGCGATTCCTTTTCAATTTCTTGTCACCAATGAGACCTTCCGTCTCAATAATAATTTTCATTTTCCAAAAACACTGTAAGAGGGATATTTTCATGCATTGTGCACTTTTCTGACATTTTTATTTTACACTTTCAGTACTCCATTAAGTGAGTTTGATCATATTATGAATTAGCGGCATTATAGGAGAGTGTAAACTGTCAAATGTCTATTACATATGTACATATTTTAATGTGAACTGTGTACTCACTTAATAAAGTACTATAGGTAATAAAGGATCTGATACTTTTGTTATTTATACCAGGTAGAAAACTTTAAAAATACATTGTTCTGATAGTAATTTTAAAAACTAAATAAAAAACTATAAAAAACTAGCAGTAAGCTGAACAAAGAACGATGTGCAAAAATTATGTATAAATTGAATAAAAAACAACATCAAGAAGAGTGCAGGTCTAGACATTCAAATGCCTACACAGAGTATTTTATTAGCATGAAAACATTACAGGGAAATCAAGCTGTGTGTTCACACCAGATTATTTATATTTTTGCTAGGTTTAGAAATAATAATCATAGCAGCTAATATTAACTGAATATAGTAGGTACGGTGCTAATTATTACTTATACATTATCTCATTTAAGCAATACAATAATTCTATGAGTTAAGTCCTATTTTTATAATCCTACTTTTTTTACAAATGAGGAAACTGAGGCCTGAAGGGGTTAAGTAACTTGACTAATAAAACATGTCTAGTAAATGGCAGAGCTTGGATTTAGATTTAGGGCATATGTATTAAGAGGCCAACTACTTAACCACTGTACTACATAGTGATGAAGAGGGGACCTGAAGGATAAGGGGAAAGAAAAGAGTTACATGGAAGAAAAGAGAGGAGGGAAGACACTGGTGGAAATAAGAGTGACAGAGTATAAGACAGTAAGGGCCCCAGTGAAGTTCAAAGAACAACTTTGATTACCTGAGAGAAGAAATACAAAGAATAGATGAAGGCATATAGTCAAATTAGGCAAACAGCTAGTTCAAGACTGTTGTAGGCTCCATGGCCCCAGTAAACTGTGCTGCAGTACTAAGCCATTGCTCCCAATTTCAAAGCAAGAGCCCCTACAGGAACAGGTGTTTAGCAGGAAGTATATATCAGTAAATTTATGTTTAAAAAAGTATATATCAGTAAATGTTTGTTGAATGAAATCTAGCTTGTAAGATTTACTCTAAAGGCAATAAGGGTAAGATCTAGTAAGATGGTGGTAAAAAAATAAGGGTTAAAATGAAGATTCAAAATAGTATAAATTAACTTGCATATAGAATATGCATCTTAGTATTTCTATATCTTAAACTTTATTTTTTTAATCGAGTTTATTGGAGATTTAAACCCTGCTTAATTCAAATTAAAATTGCTTTCATGAATGAACATAATGCAAAATATTGCTATTAGGATTTAAGTTTATTGTAATATAACCAGGAAGGCTGAAGATCAGGGTTTCACCAAAAGGGGCTTGTCTATTGACCAAGAAGCCTCACAGGATAGTACTACCTTGATACAATTAACACAGTAATTGCAAGGTCACGTGTCTGGCTCTTAACCTTGCAGAATCGGAAACCTGCTGTCATCATAGTGATTAGTGCAGTGTTAGGAATAGGACATTCTCTTTAGGGTGATCTACATGGGAAACCAAATTATATTCAGAAGGTTGCTTAGAATTAGAACAAGCTGAGTGCTTTTAAGAAATGCCTTATAGCTAAGAAGTACTTTTCCCTAATAAAAAGATATCTTTGCTAAGGAGAGGATAAATTTTAAATCGGTTAGAGCCTCCTCTCCCCATAATACAAGAATACAACATAGGACTGAAATTTGCTTTTCTCTCAGAGTTATTTTCTTCAAATTTTGCTTCCATTTTTGTTCAACCTGTCATCTTCTTTTTCTAAAATAATACAATACAGGGATCCCCCAAACAAAGCTGACACCATAATAATTTTTTTTTTTTTTTTTGTCCCAGAGTATTTCAAGGGATTAATGTTCCAGAGAACTTTGGTAAATGCTGACCTGGGAAGACCTGTACTTTAAAAAAAGGTAGTCTTAAAGTCTCTCCTACTAAAAAATCATGGCTGGGCGCGGTGGCTCATGCCTATAATCCTAACACTTCCGGAAGCTGAGGCGGGTGGATCACGAGGTCAGGAGATCAAGACCATCCTGGTAAACACAGTGAAACTCTGTCTCTACTAAAAACACAAAAAATTAGCCGGGCGCCGTGGTGGGCGCCTGTAGTCCCAGCTACTCGGGAGGCTGAGGCAGGAGAAGGGCGCGAACCTGGGAAGCGGAGCTTGCAGTGAGTTGAGATCGCGCCACTCCACTCTAGCCTGGGCGACAGAGCGAGACTCCGTCTTAAAAAAAAAAAATCATTAGGTAATCTTGGTTCTAATTAGGTTTTTTGTTTTTTATTTTGTTTCTTTGAGATGGAGTCTCGCTCTGTCGCCCAGGCTGGAGTGCAGTGGTGCGATCTCAGTTCACCCCAACCGCAGCCTCCTGGGTTCAAGCAATTCTTGTGCCTCAGGCTCCTGTGTAGCTGGGATTACAGGCACAGCCATTGCGCCCAGCTAATTTTTGCATTTTTAATAGAGACAGAGTTTCACCATGTTGGTCAGGCCGGTCTTGCAGTCCTGACTTCAGGTGATCTGCCTGCCTTGGCCTCTCAGAGTGCTGGGATTACAGGCGTGAGCCACCGTGCCCAGCCTAATTAGTTGTTTTTTTGTTTTTTTGTTTTTTTTTAAGAATTAAAAATTACTGTTGCATGTTCCTGTAGGGGAAAACTTGAATCCATTATAAAATAGAACCTAATTATCCAAATCATAAAATGTGAGGCATAGACAAGGAAAAGTACCTGAAAAAGTCACTGCATGCTGCTAACACACAACGATGACATGGGATTATTTCATCTTTCATAATTATTTTGAAATCATAAAAGACATTTTGTTCTCTAAAATTCTGTAGTACACTTAAGATTTTTTGTCCATGATCTTCTGACACAAGAAAGTTGTTTTTCTTCTCAGATGGAATTCCATTACAGGTGCTTCGTTGATTGAAAGCATATGAATTATCCATAGCCAATTCCATATGTCCTTAGAACTAGAACAAAAAAAAAATCACTGATGTCGTAGAGACCTAATGTAAGTTTCAGACTCCAAAATTTGCCCTCTTGATGTGAAATACATAAAAATAGCCACTAAGAAACATAATAAGACAGTAAAATTTGTTTTAAACATTTGTTTTCCTGACATTTAATATTAAATTCCTTTTGAATTTTCATAAATGTTGAGCTCATTGTAATAAAAGTATATTTTTCATAAGGGCTAACATTCAAGCCTATGTAACTGTGTTAAATAGCCAAATGTACAAGTTGTATAAATAGCTTATATAGGATTTCACTACATAATTAATATTATTATTATACATAAGAAGTGTTATTTCTAACATAATTATTGAGTATATGCCCAACACAATCCCCCTCTTTTCCAATCCATTCTCTTCTGGTAGCAAAGTAGCTGTTAAAAGGCTGATCTTGGAGCATAAACTATATGCCTTCTGAGGTTAGACTTTTACAAGATAATTGGTTGAAAAAGATCAGTGTTAGATTGCATTAATTATTTATGGCTTTAGTAAAGAAGAAAAAGGCAAGCACTTTTCTAAGTTGGGCTATTTAAAAGTAGAAAGGAAAACCGCATATATCTTAATTAAGAAAGATTTTTTAAACATGAGGTCAGAAATCCAAGACAGGTAAAGATCAGATAAATGTGAGTATCTTGGAACTGCAAATTCAGCTCTAAACATAAAAGTTGCATTATCCAAAGCAAGGAAGTGGGAAACAGAAAGGAAAAGAGGATTGGGAACTTGGGGAGCCGGACAAATAGAAAACCTTGATTCTACATTTCTGTTCCAGTTATCACCCTAAAATGTAGTGGCTTAAGACAACAATTTATAATCTCTCATGCTCCTGTGAGTTGAGGTGATGCTTCTTGCTTGGGAGTTTTCATATAACTACAGGCAAATGGCAGCTGTGACTGAAGTCATCTGAAGGTCTGACTAGGTTACATGTCCAGTATGGTTTCCTCATTCACATTTCTTATGATTCAGCTGGGATGGTTAGAAGAGATGGGGATCTTTCTTCTTTTCTTGTTTTTTTCTGAGAATGCTTCAATATTTATTGATTCATTTAAAAATAAGAAAAAAATTTATATAACTATATTCAATATATCTATTTAATATACATATTCATATATATCCATTTTATATACATGCCTTTGTATACAACTATATATAACTACAAAAATATATAAATGGATAACTAAAATAACTATTTTCCAAAACAAAAAAAAAAGTTTCTTGAGAAGGGTTACATTCTTTTATATTTTTGCAAATCTCTTTAACATCTGGCTTAATGGAAGACAACTAGATTCTCATACCTGCTTCTTTATTCAATCTTTTGTGAAATCATATACCATGTGGGCACACATCTACAACCATCTTATCTTCGACAAACCTGACAAAAACAAGCAATGGGGAAAGGATTCCCTATTTAATAAATGGTGTTGGGAAAACTGGCTAGCCATATGCAGAAAACTGAAACTGGACCCCTTCCTTACACCTTATACAAAAATTAACTCAAGATGGATTAGAGACTTAAATATAAAACCCAAAACCATAAAAACCCTAGAAGAAAACCTAGGCAATACCATTCAGGACATAGGAATGGGCAAAAATTTCATGACTAAAACACCAAAAGCAATTGCAACAAAAGCTAAAATTGACAAATGGGATCTAATTAAACTAAAGAGCTTCTGCATAGCAAAAGAAACTAGCATCAGAGTGAACAGGCAACCTACAGAATAGGAGAAAATTTTTGTAATCTACCCGTCTGAAAAAGGTCTAATATCCAGAATCTACAAGGAACTTAAACAGATTTGCCAGAAAAAAACAAAAAACCCCATCAAAAAGTGGGCAAAGGATACGAACAGACAACTCTCAAAAGAAGACAGTTATGTGGCCAACAAACATGGAAAAAAGCTCATCCTCACTGATCATTAGGGTTTTCTCTTTCTTAACGCACCCTCTCCAAGTGGCTAGCTGGCGCTTCTTCACAGCATGACAGTCTCAGAGTGACTGGGCTTTTTGCATGAAGCTTGGTTCTCCCAGAGCAGGTGTTCCAAGAGGCCTAGGTGGAAGCTAGATACTGGAGAAGTAGTCTAAATTGTCCTACAGCATCAATTAAAGCTCCATTCCAGGACCAAGACAATTGACCGTTGCGCTATGCAATACAGTAACCATGAGCCATGTGTAGCTATTTAAATTACTTGTAAGTAAATACAACTAAAAATTCAGGTCCATCATTGCTCTAGCCACATTTAAGTGGTCAGTCATATATGGTGTGATGAGTGACAACTTGTTTGGGACAGAGTGCCCACATTTTTGGTTAAACATTACTTCTGGGTATGTCTGTGAGGGTGTTCCAGACGAGATTAAACACTTGAATTGGTAGACTAACTAAAGCAGATTGTCCTCCCCACTGTAGCTGTGCCTCATCCTGTCTGTTGAAGGTCTGAATAGAACAAAAGGCTGAATAAGAAATAACTCTTTCTTTCTGCCTGACTTCAAGCTGGAACTCAAACAGGAATTATACCACTAGCTCTCTTAAGTCTCCCGCTTGCTGACTGCAAATCTTGGGTCTTCTCAGCTTCCATAATCACATGAGCTAATTCCTTACAGTTTTTCTGTCTCTCTCCATATATATATACACACACATATATATAAAACGAACTCATATACATATATATAGTAAAAATACCTATACATATGTATAGTACAAATACATATACATATATATGTGTGTGTGTATCTATATATATCCCTTTGGTTCTGTTTTTCTGAATAAGTCAGATTAATACATCTGCCTAGTGACTACTATATTAAACAAAGCAAATATAAAACATTCTCATCATCACAGAAAAGTTCCACTGGATAGCCATTATACTGTGTGGAAAAATAGTGTGCCTGTGTGAATGTGTGTGTGACTGTGGAGGTGTGTATGTGCCTGTGTGTGCAGGAGAAACTAATAGGTTGTAATTGGCAGTACTGCTGGAAATCTAAGTGACTTGTAGAAATCATTTTGTGTGTAGCGTTCTGAGTAACTGTGAATAGGGAGACATATTAAAAATGAGAGTGGGTATCATGGAGGAAGAGAGATAATGAAAGGCTTGGAGGTTAATTCTGAGGAAAAGGAACTAGAGAAAACAAAACCAATACCAATGGGTGAAGATGAGGGCAGAGAAAGAGAGCAAGAGAGACAGACAGTGCCAGATTGATTTATTATAAGCTCACATGATAATAGAGGCTAAGAAGTCCCAAGATCTATAACTAGTTAGCTGGATACCCAGGAGAGCTGACAGTACAGTTTCAGTACAAGTCCAAAGGCCTAAGAACCACAACAGTCAATGGTTTAAGTTTCAGTCCAAAAGTTGACAAGCTTAAGACCCAAGAGGAGTCAATTTTTCAATTTGAGTCCAATGGCAGGAAAAGACTGATGTATGTCCCAACTCAAATAGGCAGGATAAATTTCCTATTACTCAGTCTTTTATTCTATTCAATTCTTCATTTGATTGGATAAGGCCCACCACACAGGAAAATGTGATTTACTTGGTCTCCTGATTCACATGTTAATCTCATCCAGAAATATCCTTACAGACACGTTCAGAATATCTGACCAAATGTCTGGTCACCAGATGGCCCAGTCAAACTTATAAATGAAATCAACTAACACGACAGTTCAAGTTTTGACTTAACAATGTTGATAACATATGACCTAGGATGGAAAAAGAGTATTTCAAATTAGAGTGAGGCATAAAGACAATTATACATGGCTAATGTCCCAGGACTAATTCTTTACCTCACAAGGCATCTTCATAAGTCACTTATAAGACTGTTTTTAAAACTACACATGTTTTATCTCCTTTTCTAATATTTATAAAATACACAGATGTGACATATTAGCTTGTATAAAAATCATATATCTTCCCAAGAGTATGATATAATGTTGTTAAATAAGATGGCTATTAGCCTGAGATTACCTCCATAACAAGGCCTCTTATGTAAGAGAACTGAAACTTAACTTGGAAACATTTATTGTAACTGACTTAAAAACCAAAAACAAGCCTTAGCCAATCACAGTCAACCAACCTACTGGTTACAAATAGAGAATTTCCATCAGACAATATCCAAATAAGGCAAATGCCTAGCTGTAGTCAATTAGGTAATTTCTCTACTTTGTTTCCATGTTCAACCTATAAAAGCTTGCTGGTCACACTGCTGGAGTAGAGCTCTCTGAACCTCTTTCAGTTTTGAATGCTACCTGATTCATGAATTGCTCTTTGCTCAAACTCTGTTAAATTGTATTTGTCTAAAGCTTTTCTTTTAACAAAGTGAAATGAAAGAAAAAGGAGGGCATTAGAATCAGGCTTGAGTTCTAACGCTGGTTCAGCATTTAGTTGTTATACATTTGAGGCAAATAACTTCTAATTTTTTATTATTATTTTCATCATCTGTAAAATGCAGATAAACTGTATCTATCTAGTTGTGTTGTTGAGAATATTTTAAAAAAACGCATAATTGGCTGGGCGCAGTGGCTCACACCTGTAATCCCAGCACTTTGGGAGGCCAAGGTGGGTGGACCACATGGTCAAGAGATTGAGACCATCCTGGCCAACACGGGGTAACCCCATCTCTGATAAAAATGCAAAAGTTAGCTGGGCATGGTGGCGCACGCCTGTAGTCCCAGCTACCTGAGAGGCTAAGGCAGGAGAATCGCTTGAACCCGGAAGATAAAGGTAAAGGTTGCAGTGGGCCGAGATCGCACCACTGCACTCCAGCCTGGTGACAGAGATTCCGTCTCAAAAACAAAAACAAAAACAAAAACAAAACAAAACAAAACAACAAAAGTAATTTAGCATATAATGTGTGTAAAATAAGTGGAAGTTAAGGTTTATTTTCTAAGAAATTTAACAGAAAAGAAAAGAAAATCATTTAATTGACAATAAGTTTACACTTATAAAATGGTGGAGGAAGGGACAAGAGAAGCA